CCACTCGTCATTAACTTCAGTGGTCTTGAGAGTGATACAAAGACTGGAATGCTGAAGGAAACTGGACTTCTCTGACTTGTTGTTAGCCAGTTTGCTGAAATAGAAGTTTACTTTTGTTGCTAATTTGGTGTCTCATAAGCCATATTTATCAGCACCTGGTCCTGAATTAGGTATTACCAGCTGTGACCCACAGAGGCACTGTTACATATGCCCTAAGCAACACCAAATCATCTTCCATGAAAGAAGCTAAATTGAATATTATCAATGCTGAAAGTGGAGGGAGGAGTGTTAACAGAAGATCTGGACAGAGATTCATCATATGTGGTTCTCTACAAATTCTTGAGCTGAAGTTTTGACAGTTGTAAGAGAACTCCATTAAACTATTACAATTATTGTGTCATTTGCTCGTGTGATTTTTGGAAATTGACAAATTAAGCATCATGTAGCAAGTATAAGACAAGAGTTAGACTGTAAACCACTGATTACTAAGAAATAGAATTCACACCAGAATGAACTCAGACTGTATCTGGTGTACTCTATTTTACTTCCAAATGATCTTCATGGGTAGCCCCAATTACAATCTACAGTGCCATAATTTTGCATGCTAATTTATATAAATCCCAAAGAACCCATATAGTCCCATCCCAGAAATGCTTACTGAGTTTCAAGCAGCTGTCTAGCCTTATGGTAACAATTAGGAATGGATAACTCCAGCTAGGTCTGCATATGAGATTATAGGAATTTTTTTTATGACTGTAAAAGACTCCAGTCTAGAAATATCAGGAGCATACATGAGTCCAATGAGACTATGAAAGTGCAAGCTATCTGAAACTGTTGGAAATATTCTCAGTTACCTTTATGAAACACTTCTACTAAACTATATGGGAAATAATCTCAGGAGATGGGGTTTTTTTTGTGGGGGAGGGTTGAATAATTTCATAGAAAATATATATGCTATAGAAATATATAGGAAGTTGAAACTGAACTAAATAATGTTTTTTTAAAAAAAATCCAAATCTGAACAGACACACATTTGGTAGTTTTGGAAATATGAATTGGTTATACTTATGTTATAATTACCCTGGATATAAACAAAAGACTTTAGATTCTAAGGCCCTCAATCAACTGACTTTTTTAAGCTGTGGCAGCCTGAAAGATATAATACTAAAGAATGAATTCTACACAAAACAGGAGTTTTTTTTCCCCAAAAAGTTTGTGCACATATGCAAACCACTATCTCGGAGTTTCAACCTTATCCAATTCATATAGCACCTACATACAAATCAGAAAAACCATTATCCATTTGTTGTCAATTGTAAAGCAAAATAAGTTGAAAAATTCACAGCATACTTCCTGTTCTCCAACAGCTTAATAGATCTGTAATTGAAATGAAATGGGGTTATTTTCTCCTTCCTAAATTGCATGGCTAACAATAATCTTTGAAACACACAAATCTATGTGAGAAAAACATTCTTTCAGCTTCTACAAAAATTTGATTAACATATTAAATTGGTTATGACTTCTCAACATATTTGTTGAACCTCCATATAGCACTGAGCACTATTTTTGAAGAAGCAAGCTGTTCTTATGATTAATTGTTAAGAACATTCTTACTTTGTCCAAGAATAGGGCAGATAACTTTCAGAACTAAATTTGAAATAACAGTGAAATGAACAATATTTGTTAGAGCTATGGAAGAGAAGAAAGAAGTCTTAAACAAGAGCATAAACTCAGTGCTTCTCTATACAGTCCTTTTAGCACTTGCACACAGTCAACAACTGTTTACAATGAATGTTGTCAAAACCTATTGATAGACTGGTGATATAGCTATTAAAGTGTGTAATCTATGTATGACTGTAAAGAACTTATAAGTGCTTCACTTTCTTATATCCTGATATGAAACCTGGGCTTAGAGTATTTTTGAAGAACAATGGCTGAAGAACAGCTAGCCAAAAACTCAAAAAGTAATAGCAAAATATTTTTAAGTACATCAGAAGCAAGTTACATTACATTTTTAAGCTTTTTGTGATATTGTATACATACTTACACATTACTGTAATAATCTTTTAACAAAATATGCTGTTTGTAGAATTTGAAAATGGACAACTTGTTGATCATTAACACTGTGTGAGGTACGTACATGGTAATTATTAAGAGTTTTAAATAAATGCTAGAATTATAAATAAAGTGTGTGTAAGCCAGGTCTGTCAGGGGTGTTGTTTAACAAAAAAGTGTTTTTCCCACCTGGAAGTTAATTCCAAAATATTATGAAAGACAATGAGAATGTGTTTGCATATAGTTTAAACAGATCTATCAAGCTAATGAGGGGTGGAGTCACACCTAATGCTAACAAGTCTGTGAAAAGACAGGATAGCATCTATACCCAGCAAGAGAGAGAAGCTAAGCCTTGGTATCACTTTTCAAAGAATACATTGAAAAAGGCTTAGTAGCTTTTAAAGGACAGTCAAGGACAGTCTTCCAATGTGCACAAGTCATTGGTACTCTGGGTTAGCTAAGCTGCTAACCAGTTCTCCCTGGTACTGAGGTGTAAGAATCTCTATACTATCCTTCGACCCTGAAACAATCTGGGCATTTTCCATCAGGATCACAGCCTGTGATTCTGTCATATTCTGCCCTGATAAGCCCACAAGTTGATGTGGCAGCAATAGACTCACTCTTCCTGTCCATACCTGCCTCCCCACTAACCTGGGTGGCAGGCATACTATTGGAAGCATAGACTCATAGACTCATAGACTTCAAGGTCAGAAGGGACCATTATGATCATCTAGTCTGACCACCTGCACAGTACAGGCCACAGAATCTCACCCACCCCCTCCTAGAATAATCCTCTTACCTATATCTCAGATATTGAAGCCTTCAAATAGTTTGAAGACCCCAAGATGCAGAGGAAGGCGAAAAACCTCCAGGGTCTCTGCCAATATACCCTGGAGGAAAATTCCTTCCTGACCCCAAATATGGCGATCAGCTAAACCCTGAGCACGTGGGCAAGACTCACCAGCCAGACACCCAGAAAGTTCTCTATAGTAACTCCTATCATCCCTCCATTGACCTATTTCCCACTGATAATGAATGATCAATTAGTTACCAAGATCATGTTATCTCATCAAACCATCCCCTTCATAAACCCATCTAGTTTACTCTTGAAACCAGATAGATCTTTTGCCCCCACTACTTCCTTTGGAAGGCCGTTCCAGAACCTGACTCCTCTAATGGTTAGAAACCTTTGTCTAATCTCAAGTCTAAACTTCCTACTAGCCAGCTTATATCCATTTGTTCTTGTGTCCACATTGGTATTAAACTTAAATAATTCCTCTCCCTCCCTGGTATTTATCCCTCTAATATATTTAAACAGTGCAATCATGTCCCTCCTCAGCCTTCTTTTGGTTAAAGTAAACAAGCCAAGCTCCTTGAGTCTCCTTTCATAAGACAGGTTTTCCATTCCTCGGATCATCCTAGTGGCCCTTCTTTGTACCTGTTCCAGTTTGAATTCATCCTTCTTAAACATGGGAGACCAGAACTGCACACAGTATTCCAAATAGATTGTTCCAGGCCCCACCATTTCTATATCTTTAGAGCTAGGACCACGAGCATCTATTCCCTCAGTACTGATGAAGAGTGCTTTCCTGTTTTGGCAAAGACAACTTTCAGAAACCATGCCAACCCCATCTTGTTCTTTGGCTCCAATAATAGAAAATCTACACCCTTTGTTGAGAGCCACTACATCTAAGATGATTTTCTGTCCCAATGAAGGTACTTGACTGAAGGTACAGGACAAAGAGGAGGAGTGCCTTGACACTGCTGAGACCCACTGGAAGATGCTAGTCAGAATATGTAATTGGCATAGCTTCTGATGCCCCATATTTAGACTGTTTCTGGTACAGCACCACAAGCACAGATTGGTGGGAACACATCATCATGCAGAATTGGGATGACCAATAGCAAGTTTACAGCTTTCACATCAAGAAAGTAATATTTCTGCAGCTTTTTAAGCAACTTGCCATACCCACTAACATAAAAGGACACATGAGCTCACCCTTCCCAGTTCAGAAATGGGTTGCTCTATCTGTCTGGAAACTGACTACTCCATACTGTGACATAATTTGCCCTTCTCAAGGAGCATATGCACTGCTAAGTGTACTATTCCAGTATTATGCAGGCACTAATGGACCACAGATTTATGAATGGCAATGCATACTACACAGGAAGAGTCTACGATGCCAGAGTTTTTCGCTGCTCTGGAGTCTGCAATTCCCATAAATGACATTGACAGAAAGAGCATTACTATCCCCAGTGCTATTCTAGGGGACTATGCATACCCTCTTTTGGCTTGGTTTCTGAACTAATACTGTGATATCAGAGGTCCTCACACACCCACACAAAGTTGAATTGCTCTCTAAGAAAGTGAACAATGATCACCAAATGTGGACAGATTAAAAACCCCTTTAGAGGTGGTTATAAACCAGTTTGGATGCCAGTATAATTAATGCTGTCTGAATTACTGTGGCTTGCTGTGCTCTTTACAAACTTTAGGAAGCCACCAGTGAGCAATTTCCCAAAATGACAGCATGGGTATTCTGGATCGGTTCCCTTAGCCATAAAGTAAAACTAGTACTGCTGGAATTGATTGCACCCATGCAGAAGTAAGGGATGTGTTGTGGAACTGAAGAGACCCATGGGAAGAGGGGGAATGGTCCTTGTGCAAATGTGCTTGATGGGAAAAATGGCTCACTTACGGCAGGTGGGCAGTGCTTGAGAGTGGGGTGTCCATTGCAATTCATTATAAATGAAGGATATGATTAAAAATAAATTTCTATTTGGGCCTGGGTGGGAAATGGAGGAGCACTGTTCATGTTGTAATGCTTAATCACTTCTTAACATGCTTTTACCTGTAAACACTGAAATCCTGATTATATTGCTAGATATACATCACACCATACACTTTCTTGGAAACAAAATGTTTTATTTGCAAACAGGTTTGAAAACAGTAAACACATCAATTGTTGGGCAGGCCATCTGCCCTTACAAAACCAAAAATAAGGACAGGAAATAATTCATACCTCTCACAGTATGGCCCCTCCCTCAATTTCTGCTTTCCCTGCTTTGCCCTTGCTTTGTTGTGGGACTACGGTGAGGGGAGAAGGTTTTCAAGGGAGAGAAGACAGCTGCACCATCCCCAACATCTCATGAGGCCAGAATGCATAGCTCTCTCCCAACATGAAGCTGGGTAAGCTGCTGCTGGGCTGGCAGTTTGTTGCAGGGCATCATGCCATGGTGTGAGAGTGGCAGCAGCGCCCTGTACCCTGGCAACAGGCAGCCATTATTAACAGAGAACTATTCCAGCAACTCCTGTTAGACTCTGTCCTCCTCTCTTAGCTTCTGTTCATGATCCAAGTGCCTGCTCCCTCTCTCCAGCTGGATGGTGAGACTATGTCTGTCACTCAGTATACTTCAAGGGGTAGTGGTGTTAGTCTGTACAAGATAAACTTAAAAAACAACAAATGGTCTGGTAGAACTTTATAGACTAACAACACATATAGATGGTACCATGAGCTTTCGTGGGCACAGCCCACTTCTTCAGATGACCAGAGTGTACTGTTTTTCCTGTCTTTTCTCCAGTTCATTCTATTGCTGCAACTGCTGATCTGCCCTCTTAAGAGCATTGTCCATGAGTTCTTAACAGAAACATCTCCTTTTGGAAGGGCCCTGGGGGGCACATAAGGCCAGGAATGCTGTCCCTGAAGTGCAGCAGCCAGTGCAGATTTAGGGTCCTACAACAGGACAAGAACCAGAAGGGTGGCTGTTTAAAGCATCTCTGTGGAGGAGCACAGAATTAACAACTGTGGAATGTGAAAAGACATAAAACGTAACAGTTTAAAAGTGAACCTACGTACATTGGGAAGGGGATGCTTCACTCCTCGCACTCCCTTTTCACAGAGGCTTATCATTCGTAGTTACAGAAGTGGGGAGCCAATGATAAATTGAAACTTAAAAATCTTTATTTTGCTTCAAACATTGCTCCCTAGCAATTGCTATAGCAGGGCAATAAGCAGTCTTTCCAGGCCCCTGCGCAAGGGGAGCACATGGAGGGTGCAGGGCCTCAAACAGAGGAGTGAGGCTGGGGGCAGCCAGCCATCAGTACCATTCAGAGCCCATCATAGCCCCTTCCCGCAACAGTCAGCTTTTCAAGCCTCTCAGAGCGCACCTCATGGTGCTCCAGTAGTGATTGCAAGGACTCTGGGCACTGCCACTACCACTTCTGCTGTAGCAGTAGCTGCAGCTGGCAACCTGAGGTCTTTTTCAATCCCCGGGCTCCAGGGCAACTGCCTGCTCTTTATTTCCTTTAAGCAAATCTGGTTCGCACATAGCGCTCTGCTTACCCTGTCATTGTTGCATGCAGAACTCTGAGATCCACAGCCTTCATCCACCGTGGAAAAGATTAGCTCACACTGAAAGAGAATACATTTGGAAGCAGAATACATTTTTCTAAATGCTCACACTCCATTTGCTGTTGCTGTTCATCAGCAGCTGCCTAGACATAGGAGGAATGATTGTGGAGTGGCAAATTCCCAATTACTCAAAGGAAAACAAAAATACCCATAGCACATTTCTGTGACTTAACTGTTAAAATAATCTGTTCTCAAGTATGAAATACAATTTCACCATTTTCAATTCCACATGGTGTGGGGGAGGGATACACACTGTGATGCTATAAAATGATCTGCTGTTATTGCTCAAATGATGTTAGCGAAGACTTAATACTTTTTGCATGTCAGTTAACCAGAAATCCCTCTGATTGTAAACTTAGTTTGATTCATACACTTACCAGTCTCTCGGGTGTGCTCTTTCTCTTTTTCCTTCTCAACAAACTTGGCTCCAGGCTGCTCCTTGGGTGCTGTGGGTGGGGTGGGGGAATAAAACATCTCCTCTGAGTGGGGACTGATATTTTTCTGTTGAGTATGATCCACAGACAGCTATGGGACTGATATTGCAAGGGTCAGTTCACAATATTGGCTGGGAGCAGGCTGCTCACTGCATGCAGTTCCCAGCCTAGATCCAAGAGCCAGCAGTTTTCCACCTTGGCTCATCAGACCATCCTGATGCACAAGTAGGCTTTGCACTGGGCACTAGTGAGTTGCAAGGGTGTGATTCTTATCTCAGGTCTTCCTGTTTTTGCTTTTCAGCCTCTTACATAGTTTTCTGCATTGTTTGCTGCTCCACAGATTCTCCTGAGCTTCCAGCTTTTCAAAGGTTTTTGCATTTGCTGAAGTCCAAAGTTTTACTAGTCTCATACCTCAGATTCACTAAAAATCTAACTGTGCTTTTCAGACCAGGAAGCAACTCTCACTGCAAAAACAGATTCTTTTCTGTCTCCCTGAAAACCCTGCAGCCTCAGATAGTGTATTCACAGAACTGTGTTCAGCAGATGACAGGTTAATGCTGATTTGAGCTACTGCCATTTACATAGGAAGATGTGGGTTCCATTTTTACTAAAAAGTAAAATAGCAGATTTTTGGCACAGAGAGGTGTGATGGGGTATGCATACCCTCCACCAGGAGAGCTTAATGCCCTGTGAAGGGAAGAAGTCCCCCCTCAGCTGCACTGGACATGCTCCAAGTACAGGATCAGTATAAAAGGGAGCATCTCAGCTTAATCTGGGCTGTACATTGGAGGAGGACCTACTACAAGAACTCCAGAGGTACCCCAGCCCAAGACCTGGATGACAGGAGCCAGAGGATTCAGATACTATGTGGAGTGCCCTATGCCGACTCTGGTAGGAAGTGACCCAGGGAGGGTAAGTGAGTGATATCTCCCACCCCAGTGAGGTCAGTGTGTTGCAGTCAGATTCCCCATTGAGCAAGTGGACAAGCACTTTGCTACTAACAGGGCCCTGGGTTGAGGCCCAGTGGAGTAGGGTGGGTCCTGCCCTCCCACTAGGCCTACTGTCCCAAACTACTGACTCAGCCATTAGTCCGTGCTGCCCTGAACTAAGGGCTATCATTACTACTGAATCTAGCCATTAGGCTGTACGGCCCTGGACTGCAAGCTATTGACACTGTTTCCAGCCATTGGTCTGTGCTGCCTGGGACTGAAGACTATGCTACTGATTCTAGCCATGGGACTTTTCTGCCTCAGGATGAGGCGTGCTTGCAATGTGACAGGAAGAATAAGGAAATTGCCTGGAGGAGCTCAGGTGTGGCAAGTCCTCCAGATATATCCCAAATTCATGCTGGGTATTATGTGCAAAAAAACAACAATAGGATTCAGATCCTATATCCCAGATTAAGATAGTCTTAGTCACTCATGACCTGTCAGATCCTAGGAACAGAGGTTGTCAGGACAGCACTGCCTGTAATTTCAGGAGGGAATCTAAAAGGAAATTTAGGAGGGGTTCACCACCCTGACAGGTACTAATATGGGAGAAAATAAAGACGTCAGTCAGTGTGTTTGGTCTGAACAGACCTGAGTGGAATACACAATTGCACCCACATTTTGAAGATGAACACTTGCACAGTCTGCCAATGAACAGGTGGCAGTTTTAACTACTTTAGCCCTGGTCTATACTACAGCATTATTTTGATATAACTCCCTTTAGGGCAAATTTATAAGATGAGAGTCTATACTACCAAGTCCATTATTTCGATATAAGGAACTGCTTATTTTGAAATCTGTACTCCTGCCTTTCATGGGGAATAATGCTAATTTCAAAATAGTTATTTTGAAATAATGGTAGTATGGACATATCCTTAAGGCCCTGAGCATGATTATATCAATATAGGATTTAAATACAAAATCAGAAAAGTGTAAATCTTGACTAGAGCAGTGGGATGTATTAATAATAGAAATAAATGAACTTTGGAAGATGAGCCTCCAAAGCAAATTCACCCACCTGTCTAAAGTGCTGCTGTGAA